TATATTAATTACAAAAAAATTGTATAATAAATAGAATGATTTTCAATCGTATAATTTATTTTAATTTAAATTATTAAACTCGAATTTTTCGTCGGAAAGAAAACAGCCTTAAAATTTACAGGAATCGACTTTTCCAACAAAGAGAATATAACCTTTCAAGTTCAAGCATAACCTAAAAAAAAAAAGAGCGCATTGAACGTTGCGTCTCGTAGAAAGAGTATTTTTACAAGCAAATATAAATATTCGAAAGCTTGGATCGTCGACGTCATTGCAAGAGAATTTCTGAGATGTTACATTTGTGATTAAGATAATAATTGCCATCATTACATACATCTTGTGACAAAATCTATTATTCCGTTTCCAGTGTTTCATGTAATATTTTCCCATAAATAATCAATTTCGCTCCGAACGATGTCAGACGATGAAGATTATATGTCTGATAAATTTCTACAAGATACCGAACGAAATATCTCGTCGAGTCTTATATACAGACATTCTGATAAAAGAGAATTTGCATTAATGAAGAAAAAAGCTGAAATTCAATCTAGAAACAAGTCAATACATGTAGTCGAAGCAGAAAAAAGGGAGGAAGGCTTGTCATCTGCTATTACCAGTGCAAATAAAGGTCTACATTTTGTACATATTATATGTAGGAATTGATTGTGTATCACACTTGTAAAAATTACGAAAGTAAGCAAATATATTAAAAATTGATCAATGAAGTTATAAATATTTTAATAAATTTGTTAATTTTTATAATTTTCATCAAGTTGTGAAAAATACATAATCAAACAGATAAATTCGCAATGTGATAAGAATGTAAAAAAAAATACTGATAAAAATTTGATATTAGAGACTATAACAGAGTCTGGCTACAAGCAATTTTGTCAAAATTCTGAGAAATGTAGTATATATATTTCTCCATATAAAACAATATAAGATTCTTAATTTTGAAAACAATAAAATAAAGGATATATAAGATTCGATTTGACAATACTGAATGTAAAAAAAAATTTAAATTATTATTAATTTATAATACTATAATAATTTAATAATTTTTTTACACTCAGTATTATTAAATTGATTCTTATATGTCCTTTATAATAATTTTATTACTTCTCTGTGTACGCGCGCGCGCCCACACACACACACACACACACACACACACACACACACACACACACACACACACACACACACACACACACACATCTATATATACAGCTATTTCACTTAACTTATGCTTTAATTAAAAATACAAAGTGAGATTAAATTGAGAGTATATTGTTTCACTTATAATCTTAATTAAAGTTAAGTAATTAACTTAATTAAAATTAAGTAAAATAAAATGAAACAAGCATATGTAAAGTGAAATAGTGTATACATAAACAGGGAATAATATGTACATGTATCTTTCTCTTTCATAGAATTTTAACAAAATTGATTGTGGCCAGACTCTGTCATAGAGTCTCCAAATGATAAATAATTATTTTATTTTTAGGTTTTGAAATGTTGATGAAAATGGGATACAAACCTGGTCAAGGAATAGGCAAGACTCAATCAGGAATGACTGAGCCAATTTCTGTGGAAGTGAAAGTGGATAGACAAGGTCTAGGCAAAACATTAAAGAAAGATACATATAAACCTAAAAATACAAATGCAAAATTAAATAATATGGATACCAGAGATTTCCGTAACAGGTTGGCCCAAGAAAAAGCGGAACAGCTGCAAAAGATCGATTTATACAAAAGTCAAAAGGTGTGTCAAGAATTGGACACTAAAGAAAACATCGAAAAACCTGAAGAGTCATGGTTTTGGGTAGAGAACAAAGAAGAAAAAGAAGATGATGATACTCATGACGATATCGAGGATGACCAAATTTTCAATAATTTAGAAAAACTTGACATTCTTACTAAATATTTAAGAAAAAAATACTTTTACTGTATCTGGTGCGGAACGAAATTCAACGACGAAGATGATTTAAGAGATACTTGTCCGGGAAGTACAAGAAACGATCATTGAGTTAAATAGAATATTATATTTATAATTACTTAAATAATAATTATATTTATATTATATTAGAAAAATGATATCAATAAATTTTGGACATCACTAAAAACATTCTCCAATCTTGTCGAGCGTGTACCTCAAAACATGATAAACACACAACGAAAGAATCCTAGGTAAAATTAAATTACTTAAATATATGATCAATTCCATTATGTGATACGCGAGACATAAAAAACCCATTAGCGGATATAATGCAAAACATTGAAAAAGCAATATTCCGGACGAGAAAAAATCGAGTATTGAGCAACTACTACGAACAGAAGAGTCTTTACTTCCTCACCCTTTCGATTGAACTACGCTATTAAAGCAGCAGGGGATCATTACGACCTTTGGCTTTTATAGATGACGAGGAAGAGGGGTGAAAAATTACCTATAAAAGCGTCTGTTTGATTCTCTCTCCTTTCATTTTACCTGGAAACTTCTACGGTGATTTGTTTGTTAAATATATCAATAAAAACAATATTATAATGTTGGTAGCTTCAAAGTCTCTGCTAGTTCTCGTGGTTTATGTTACAATCAGCGATGCTGAAATAACCGAGATAGATGACGAAAGTTGTGAGACTCTACAATCGGAAATACGCATCACTAAAGACGAATATGATGAATTAGCACGTTTGAGAAGAACATGCAGCGGTGATGTATCGGTCACGAAATGCGAAGGATTCTGTAACTCGCAAGTACAGCCAAGCGTCGTCACTACTACGGGCTTCTCAAAGGTATAGTATCATGTGACATTTCGCGAATGGAAAGATGTATAAGAAATATATGCCTTTAATTATCTATTTAATTATCTATTTTACACATACAGGAGTGCTACTGTTGCCGTGAGAGTTATCTGAAGGAAAGATTTGTTATTCTAAATCATTGCTACAACGCGGATGGGATCAAATTGATAGGCACGGATGACGAAGTAATGGAAATCAAGATACGGGAACCCGCCGAATGTAAATGTATAAAGTGCGGCGACTTTGCGAGATAAGACAGCAACAACTTGAAATATAAATTATACATTTTCTCAGCAGTGAAATTGCAACAATTATATATAACAGTTATATCAACAGATAGAAAAGAAATTATTATATTGTAACGTTGGTAAAAATAAATAGTATTTCCGATGCATTATGTGATGTGAATCTACTCGTAGCCCCAATTATACAGCTCTAAAATATATGTATATGCACATTTTTACATGTGATGATAAATACAAAACTCTCAAAAGTTAATTTTCTTTAAATATATTTATACATACATGTATATAATTTAATCCTGTATATATGCATATTTTAAGATAAATATACATCATTTAAATTAAAATTTAATATACTTGTTTCACAATTCTTTATTTACGTACCTGTTATATGCATAATTTGTAATAATATATTTATAATGTTGGAGCGCATTTAGCATATAATTTACGTTATATGTATATTATATCCCTATTGGGATTTCAGAAATAAAAGCGCATTTATCAATAAAAGCAGGTTCTGAATATAATATATATAATATATAAATATTGAACCCAAAAATAACAATTTTCCTTTAATAAAAGGTGCTAACGCATGTCATAAATAGTACAAATTTGCATTTTTTGAGCGATTAAACTTTTTGAGTTTTCAATTCTTAAGGTACCTTTTTGTGCTGACGCTCGACGCTCATTTTCAGTGTCAAAATAAGTCACGTTGACAAAATAAATCACGTGATTTATTTTGAGCCAAAAATGAATATCGAGTGTCAGCATAAAAAGACATCTTTAGTAGTTAACACCTTTAGTAATTAAAAGAAAAATTTAGAAAATTGGAGAAAAGAAAATTGTTTCAATTTTCGATACAAGATATTTCATTTTAAAATATTTATTAAATTCGCTTAAAATATTTACTATGTAATATAAGAAAAAGCATTATTAAATAGTGCAGCGGAGCAAATTACTTTATAATATAATTACTTTATAATTTCACAATCTAGTTCATTGGTCTATCTGTCCGAATGTCCGTCCGCAATATTTCTTAGAAACGGTTCAATTTTTTTAAATCTTCTGTTTTCGATAATAGATACTTAAGGAACCTAATTCCGTCAAGACAAAGTTGACATCAATTGACTATAACAAGGGTCAAAAATCAAAATTAATAAGATTTTCAATAATGTAGGCAAAATTAAACGGTTTAACTTTTTCAAAGTCTGTCTTATTTCGGCATTTTTATTAAATTATACACATGTATGTGTAAGTGCTATAGTAAATATTTTCTACAATATATTCACAGTTTAGTCTGTCATTATATATTATTGCTTAAAGCAATAAAATATTATAAATATTTTGATCTCACAAAGTTTTTAATTTTCGAAATTTTAAACATCTTCAGAAAACTTAATTCAAAATCAAAATATTGTTCAACAAAATTAAGTAGAAATGCATTTAAGAGAATTAAGATACTGATTTAATTATTCTTTTTTAAATATTCTTATTTTAATACTCTTCAAACTAAATACATGGAAATATTTTACATAACAATACTTGACTTTCTCCATTATTTATAAATCAATTCTTATCTTTATTATTAAAAATTTACATAATTTTTAAATTATGTGCACAAAATTGTGCAAATATTTGGTCATGAGAATACAATTCTTTTTATCACATAAGAATATTACATATATATAATAATTTTTAAATGAAATTATGGAATAAAATTTAATTAACAAGCTCTAGTTCAAGTACTGTATATATAAATTTAGCGAACATGTAGGAAGCATTTTCTCGTGTACATTCTTTATACATTTATATACGTAGATTTTCTAATATATAACACTAAAATATAGTAGAAGAAAGGGAAAAATGCGACCACCTATGGTGTATAAAAGCTTGCGACATAGGATCTATAAGCACAGTAAGGTACCAGGAAGAGAAGGCAATGTACCGTTTGAGAAGCAAGCTCTTTCGTTATTTTGGTAAATAAGCTAAGAGTATATTTGCAAAATAAAATTCATTTTCTGTTGTATTTTTTGCAAATTGCAAGTAAAATAGATAAATGTTATAATAATACAGTATTTTTGTACTTACCATATACAGTGATCAATGGATTGCTGATATGCTTGTTGTACGGAGCTACAGAAGCAATTGTTGGAGTCGATGAGTGTCAGGCGACGCGTGTGATACACTTCCTTCAATATCCAGGTTGTGTTCCGAAGCCGATTCCCAGTTATGCGTGTAGAGGACGATGCAGTAGTTATCTGCAGGTAAGAAACATCAAGACTAGTATTCATAATCGGTAGTTCTTATTTTAAGCCCGTTTAAATAATGTCTCAAGATGCTTTAAATATTGGCCTATGTATAATTAGAGAGACAATTATTTTTGCAATAAATTATTTACAAGATTTTGAAGATGCTTGTTAGCATCAATAACATTAAATTGCTTGCCAATTTAATTTGTAATACTATTGCAGTTTGTTTGAATTGGAAATCCTATAAATTCACAAGAAATACAATATTATTAAGCATCGAAAAATTTCTTTAATCAAATATGGTGTTTTTCATTTATATATAATTAAAGATATTCACAGAACTGTATTAGTATCTTAATTTATTTAAGTCAATCTTAAGATAAGAATAAATTATGAATCTCGAACCAAAATACATTAGTAAATCTCTCAAAGCATGAAATATGGGGTCAATGCTCTATAATATATTGAAGCAAGCCATTAGTGTTTCAATTCCTAGACACTCTGATATAAAGAAAGTAGTGTTTTCTTTGTTCGGGACTTGCTGATTGACTACTACTATAAATGAAAGAAAAATAAATATTTGTTTGCGTTCCTTTTTTGAATCGAATCAGTTTTCTATAGTATAGGAAAAGCATGTTCCAGTACATCATAGAACTCACAGGGTGTCTTTTATTTGGGCTGTATTCTGAGATAAGATTGGAGCACAAATCTTCACATAATTCATAAAGCATAAGAGAATTGATCAATCGGAGTCTTTCAAAGACTCTGTCAAGACTCAATTGATTTTCTATACTTTATGCATCATGCAAAGATCCATATTCCAGCTCATACACTACCAATTATATTTAAATAGACAATCTACACTTCATATATTACAATTGTATATTATAGATCTTTTTATTGTATATGTGCAAGCTTTATGTCTATTTATATGCAATATATAACCAATGCAACTTAACTTTAATCTTAATTCAATTTCGTTTCTTTCCAGTTCTAATAATTAGGAAAAGATGAAGAATAAGTTGAATCAAGATAAAAGTTGATCAATTCCATCTTTCTTGGCATTCCATGAATACTTGTGTAAACTTGTGTTACCAAAATAAGAAGCAATGTTTATCTTAACTAATACTCAGTTCTGGGAGTAATGATACGATGCATGAACAAAAGATTCATGAATGTTTAAAAATAATGAACATATCATATTTAATACTCACGAGATACTCTGAGATAATATCCTATATAAACATTTCTAAAACTATACAAAGACATATTCTTTAAATTTTAACACTAGCAAGAATCTCGTGTTCTGTAAAAAATATATAAGCGCATAAAACAAAAATATTAAAAATATGAATTGAGTCATGGCCTAACCCGATACTGCGAAACACTTGCGATTATTATGACTGACGTTTGACATAGTTATCTCCTTTTTATCTCTCTCGCTCTATCCCTCGTAACCCAAACAAGAGAGAGAGAGAGAGAGAGAGAGAGAGAGAGAGAGAGAGAAAACTTGTACGATAAACGTGCGGCTTATTGATACACACAGGTGTCCGGGTCCAAAATGTGGCAAATGGAGAGAAGCTGCATGTGCTGTCAGGAAAGCGGCGAGAGAGAGGCTAGTGTTTCCTTGTTCTGTCCACGAGCGAAACCAGGAGAGAAGAAATTCAGGAAGGTGAGACCACCCTCGCGCGGCCGCCCTCGGACGCGGCTCGGCCGGCGGCGGCGCGAATGTCAGCTGGGTCGTAAACAGGATCGCGTGAACGTGGACGCGGTCGAGTGCCGTTCCCTCGCTCTCTCACCGATCGCACACCGATAGGATTCGCAGCAAAATCGTTTGACACGAGTTTCGTGCGGCCATATTGTTTTCGTGCGCAGCCGACCGAGGTTTCCTAATTCTTTCCCGCGATTCCTAGGGAATTCCTAACTACCATCGTTTAGGTTTTCGGTTGGCTATCCTTTTTGCAGAAGAATGAGTAACGAATATTTCGAAATTCTCTAGGATAAAAAGAAAAAAAATCAATTTTTTATCGTTTCTAAGGAATTTTGAAAAACTCATTTCGATTATCTATCTTTCGATTCTTTCATGAAAAGGGCAGACAACAAATAATAATTAATTCATTATATAATTTTTATTAATATTAATTTCATTAATAATTATATTAATATAATATTAATGTTAATATATTATTATTAATAAATTAT